TATTCCTGCAGTGAAGGCCGTTGTCCATGCGTTGCTGTTGTAGATATTCCTGCAGTGAAGGCTGTTTTCCTTGAGGTTCTTTTTGACTAATTTCCTGGGTCTCATTATCCTGGAAGATGAAATCGCTGGCTCAAGGGCTGTAAAGATGTTCCCTGTTGCCAAATGGCCAGTGTGGGTGGCGCCTGCCAGAGCCCAGGAGCACCTCAGGCCCCCACCCCATCTTCCCACAGCCCTGCCCACAGGGATGGCTCCAGGGCCTGTGTTGGCCACACCTGTGGGGATGTGGGGCCAACATCGGAACATGCCAAGACATGTTTCATGGCAGCACCTTCCACGTGTCCAGGGTCTCCTGGGTGCTCAGGGGCACAAGCAGGCCCATGCTCAGGACCAACGCATCACACGCCAGGCCCCCGTTCACTTTTCCCAGTTGGTAGGCACTGCTATTCCAAGGCTCCAGAGCAGGAAACAGGCAGGCAGAGGCCAAGCTGTTCCTGAGGCCACCCAGCTGGGGTGAGTGGCAGAGCTGGGACTGGACCCAGGCGGTTGGCTATCAGCGCCGCCTTGGTAGGCGTGAGGCTTCGAGTGCTCGGGAGGCTGAGAACCGTGCACCTGGGACCCTGCCCTGCTGGCCTGGCACCTCTGGGCTTGGTGCCCCACGCTCACCAGGGGGGCTGGAGCCCAGTCCCACCGTTTTCTCTCTCCCGACACTGAGGGGCGTTTCGTTGTGACTCTTTCCTCTGAAACAGTGTGGACAGGATTCGTTCTCTTTGGCATCCCTCTGTCAGAGGCTAGAGGTTGTGTTTTCCTGCAGTCTGTAGTAAAATCAGTTTCCTTCTGTGAGGAAAACCCACCTGCTCTGATGTCCCTGCCTGGCAACCCTGACCCTAGAGCCCTACGCCAGCATCTTAACCACACCCTCGGGAGAAGACCAAATCACAGAAATGGAAAGCTACTCCCGATGAAACAGATTATGTAAGGATCCAAAGAGAACATTTCAGACAAGAACAACACCATGAAGGAACTTGAGGGGATAACGGCATTTACAGACTGAAAACAGAGGAACAGCTGGGGGCCAGAAACCCTTGAAAATTACAGAGGTAATTCCTGGAGTTGAAAGAAAATTAAATGAAGGGTTAGAAGATAAAATTGAGGAAATCTCTCAGAGAACAGATGAAAAAGGACAGAGAGAGAAAATGTGAGAGAAAAGCCACATACAGGATGAGTACAGGAGGCCGAACGTGACCACAGGCTGAGCGCCCCTTACCCAAGACGCCTGAGGCCAGAGTGTGGATTTCAGATTCGGGGGGGTTGGAATGTTCCGGGGGTTTGGAACGTTACAGAGGATTTGGGATATTCTGGGAGATTTGGAATTTTTCAGGGGATTTGGAATATTCTGGAGGATTTGGAATATTCACATTTTGCCCCCAGCTCAGCATCCCTACTTTGAAATCTGAAATGCTCCAATGAACGTCATGTCAGCGCTCAAAAAGCGTCAGGTTTTGGAGCATTTGGGATTTAGGATTTTCAGATGCAAGATGCTCTGCCTGTATTGGATTCCAGACAGAACAAAGGAGGAGGGAACTGAAGGAAGCAGGACCCAGCAGAGTTTCCCGAGTGAAGGACAAGGGTGCCGGCTCCTGGTTGGCCCCTAGACCCACCCCGGGATGAAGGACAAGGGTGCCGGCTCCTGGTTGGCCCCTAGACCCACCCCGGGATGAAGGACAAGGGTGCCGGCTCCTGGTTGGCCCCTAGACCCACCCCGGGATGAAGGACAAGGGTGCCGGCTCCTGGTTGGCCCCTAGACCCACCCCAGGATGGCCAGCAAGAATTCGGAGAGCTCCCATCCATTACGGGATGTCATGGGATACATCAGATCTCCGCTGGCAAAGAGAAGACCCTGAGAGGCTGGAAAGGAAGCCGCCTACAGAGGAGCAGGAAATAGACCTGCCCCAACCTTCCCAGCAGCTGCCACCCTGAGCAAGAAAATAGAACATTCCAAGTGGAGGTAATTGTCAGCCTCTAATTCGAGCTCACCCAAGCTATCAGCCACATGTCAGCTCAAAATAAAGCCATTTTTAGACAAAAGGGGCCCAGCGAGTGTACTTCCCATCCACCATTTTTAGAAAGTTTCTTGAGGTTAGGATCCAGAAAAACAAGGAAGTAAACTGCCCCCCCAAAAAAGAGAGAGAGAGAGAGAGAGATGTGGGATGCTAGAAATAGCAGGTTCAACCCAGGGAAGTAGTCAGGAGCCATCCCTAGATGGACTCTGCACAGAGAGAGCCCCTGGCCTGCACTCAGCTCTCTCAGCTCAGGAGGACCCTGGGGAAACTGGCTCCCTAATATGACAGGTGGGGCACTGTCCAGCGGGGCAGAACAGTTAGAGACTCCGGGAAACCAAGTCATTACAGCCGAAATCTCCAGTGAGAAACGGTGTTCATTGATGTTTCACTTTGAGGATTAACTTGTTGACAAAGAAGCATTTTGACAAAAGGAAAGGATGGATTTGGCAATACAAAAGTGAAGGAAAGCACAGGTGACCTACGTTAGTGGGGCAGGAAGGATGAGCTGAGGAGTGTGGGTGCCGTGGCCCTCACCCAGGAAGGTGAGTCACCAGGGCCACGTGGAGACCAGAAGATGAGAGGCTGGCGTGACCCCGTAGGTGCTGAGGTG